GCTTTCGTTTTGCAGCTTCTCAGGTTTCAATACGGAGACCCCAATAGCTATAGGTTTTGGATGGTTTTGGTCTATTCGCCTTCGTCTGGGGGTTGAACTGCAAGATCTCCCTAGTGAAATACACACCCAAAGGAAAGATGCTCGGGTAGTTCGTGGACTGGCTGCTGAGCTGCGAGCTGCGTGCGATGCCGAGAAAGAGGAAACTGGTGTGTGTTGGGATCGGAGGGCGTGATGGCATCTCCCGATCACGATCGATGCATTGGAATTGAGTATCTTAGATTGGAGTATTTTTTGAGTTGTCATACAGCCCCAGCAGGTTTGCCGAGAGAAGATGACTGCTTTTCTGGAAGTCAACCATCCAGTGCCTTGCCTTCATATCATGCTGCAACTGGTTCTTCTTCCACAATGCCATCTACCAGTTGTTCTTTTTGTTGATTTATACACTCCCTGGAACATTCTTGGAAGTGGAACACCAGTATGATGCGGGAAGAGGTCTTCACAGTCGCCATGGTTCACTTCCACACTGATTCCAGGGAGCCCCATGTTTCCTATGTCATTCATGTGTCATTCTCTCCGAATTTGGCCTCATCACCGCGCGGCGAAGATCCGCATCGCTCGGAGCCCCCTATCCAGCTCCGCCTCGCCTCGCATCGCCGCTCGCACCAGGCATCCGAAGTTCCGCGAGCCGCTTGGAGAGAGGTGATGTGGATGGGATCCAAGGCGTCACTCATGTCAACCCTACTCAGTCAGGCAGGCATGTCAATCAGTCAGTGGAGAACCTTCAAAACCCTTTCTTGTGGGGATGATTTTTAGGCAAACTGAGAGAGTCTGAGTCAGCAATTGTTGATTCGTAGCCCCACATGTACATTCAAGACCATTCAAGTAATTACGCAAGTAGGTCTTTGATTGAGTGCCGATTCACTTGCGCCTCTTTTGCCAATCGTGTTCCATGAAACAGTGGTAGAACATGGTAGAACAATGTAGAACATAATAGCATGCCGCAGCATGCCCACATGTTTAAACGGCGACACTCCCTGAGATCATGACGGATGTGGAGTTCACCACCTGTTTGTAGCGGATTTCATGGTCCAAAGGACCATGCCATCCACTTCCAGGACTAGTTCAGGGAGTGTAAACTGTTAAACCACGTGAAACCCCTCCTTGCATGGCGGTTAAACACGCTAAACACCCCATCCAGACGTTTTGACAGCCCAGTCCACTCACTGCACTTCATTCGGCGCTTCCGAAGTTCCCATCACTGTGTTGTTCGCCGTTCGGGTTATGACAACTTCGCGCCGTCCGTCATCAAGGTGTCAAACAAGGGATCCTTCCAAAATAGAGGGGAAGATCAAGGGGATCCGAGAACAGGATAGACAAATGCAGACGTTTCGAAGAACTGCTGGGAGTGGCGGAATGGCAGAGGAATCTGGATCGGCCCAAGGTCTCAGCAGGTGCTTCTGCAGATGCTCCACCGCTTTGACCTCCTGGTGCCAGGAGCACGGCCCTCGGTGCACGTGGCCGGGGAGCCCAGACGTCTAGTCGCCGTCCTCGGTGTCGGACCCTGGGGTCCAGGTGTGAGGCCAGAGGTGCTTTTGGCATCGCTACTAGCAAGGAGCTATTTGCTACTAGTCGTAGTGGCCTATTATGGCTACAGCTATTTGCTAGTAGTGGCCTCCAACCGAGTAGCGATGGCCTCTGAAGAGCGTTCTTGCTTACTTAGTAAGCCGAATCGGATCTTTTTTTCAACACAGATTCATGTCCCGTATGTCACTCACTTCTTGGAGTGAACATCAGTCGACCTAGAATCTTCCAGCCATTTGGAAACACACTTGAACCATGTCCTCCTGGTCTCACCCCCCCCCTCCATCGCCGCTCGGTCGACCCCGGTCGACCGTCCCAGGTGCCCAGTCTGTTGCCCTGCGCGCCACCGGAGCCCAGCTTCCCACTGAGCCGGGAGGAGGCGGACGGAGGGAGGAAGGACCCGTTCGAGGGGCAGGGCAAGGACACCACCGGGTGCTTCTGGGGGAGGTCATTAGATATACCTACAGAGGTTAAGTGACCGTAAATAGGACCCTACAGGGGTACCTATATATAGAGTCTATAGGGTTCTTCAACCTCTGCTGATATACGTGATGCCGCCATTGTGGCGTTTGATCATGCAGCCGGCCGCTGCCATGAGGGAGATCCATGGATCCACAGAAATCTTTGGAACCATAGAAATGACACTGAATTGATTATATACCAGGATCACCCTGTCTGGGTGTCCAATAGACAACCTTACCCTACGTAAACAGGTCTCCAGACAGGGCACCCGTTGGAAGTGCTAGGTATATGTATTTGTTTTGTTGGTTTAATCTGTATATTTAGCAGTCGCATCATGAATCTTCTGGAGGCTTTCTCGTACTAGACTAGACAACTCTGGGCACTCCTTTGTAAGTTTGTGGGCATTTGTTGCAGTGTGTCCAAGGGACAACTTTTGCAACAAGAGCATCAAACATGATGTTCAATGCATATTTTGCAATTTTTGGAAATGAACATGTCATGGAGTGGTTGCATTGCTGAAGCTTGAATGGAGTGGCGGCGAATGGTAAGTTCTGTGGAGAGCCTTACAGGGATTGGCTTACACCTCCCAAAAATTACCAGAACTCCTGGCCCCCTTTCTGAAGGTTGTTTTTTTGCAAGACCACTTGGGGGTTGAATCGAACCAAGAGTCCTCCGGGAGGTTTTACGATAGCTATCCCATCCTACCCCATCTCTTGCCCAAGGCAGCTGTAACCATTAGAGTTGCGTGACGGCGAAGTTTCTTCTTTTATGTCCATAACATTCGGGAGCTACAATCACTCGATGGTTGGCAGAGACAGACTGTGACAGACGGTGACGACGATGGTTTTTTCTTGAGCTCTTCCTCACCAACCAGTTTAGTTTCCGCTGGGCCCTCTTGTTCCATAGAGATGATCAAGGTGCGCATTCACCCCACACATGGTGTTCCACACACGATCATCGCGTACGGCCGACCAGCCCTGAGATATGGAATTCACTCTTCTTCGACTTCCATGGATTGCTTTGTCGTCTTTTGCTGGATGCCCCAGGGAACGAAACTGTGGGTCTTGGCTTAGTGAGAGAAGACTGGTCGCTGAGCTGCCTCCTTTCTTTTGCGGGATCGACTTTTCATCAGCACAAAATTCGTGACTGGAGCGTTGTATGACTATACCCAGACACTCCACGAGTCATGAGACTGCCGTATTTACATATACATTGACTCCGGGGTCAACCGACCCAACTGATCGGTCACTATCTTGGGGTTGGTTGCCCGCTCACGAGCAGCAGAAAGCGACGGATAGAGGGGGCCTGAATGGAAGGTCGTGTCCCTGGAAGCAGGTGGTTGAACCCCCCAGACCGACCTCCGAAATCAAAGGGGATCAGATCGTTCATACCTTTCTGAAGGGCCGTAGGGGGGAGCGGAGAAAGCCCCACGGATGGTGCAAGTGGTGGAACGTTCGGTGGAACAATTCTTTGTTATTTGTTTGTCCAAAACTGAGGGAGCCAGCAGAATTTCAACACACCACCCCAATGTGTAACGAATACTGGTGGCAAGGAAAGAGAAGACACGGCAAGAGCAAAAATCCTAACCCGTTTGCTCTCCTTGTGTCATGTGGATCTGGCTTTCCTCATGTGCCACGGTCTTGGGGGGGGCACTCCTTGAAATGAAAGCAAGACTGCACATTTGCCCTCTAGGATTTATATAATAATTACTTGGTCGCATATGCTTGAGCAGTTGAATTTGACAATGGTGTTTATGAGGTCATCTCAGGCCAAATCAGAGCAAATTAACATCTATCATGTACCTAAGGGGTGTCCGATGGGTACATAGGAAGTGTTTGGCTCCCTGACCCTGACACTTCATCCATGCCATATTTGTCCATATTGAAGTGGTTTGAGCGGTCAATGTAGGCTTATGTACCAGTCCCATGGAGTTGGTGACCCCGGAAAGGAAGCTGCTATACTTGATAGAATCGGACGGTTGTCTTGTTGGACATCGGCTTTGACTCCAGACCGACCTGTTTTTGGTTTGAGAAAGCTCAATCTTCAGAGACTGGGAGAGAAAACCCACTGGAATATTTCCCTAAACACTTGACTATTGCAGTCACATGGAGTTTTGGCTATCAATTCAATGTAAAAACAGTATTTGACTTGGAGAGAACATCCCCAACCATCCATTGCAATTGATCCATATTGATCCCTAAACATGTTAAAACCCTTTGAAGATGGTCGGTCGTCCAATCTTCCAGTTCCTTGGAGTGAATCTTCCCAACACCGAGACGCGAGACGCGCTTCCGTGGGTGACCCGTGGCCCCGTGTCCTGTCCCGTGCCGTGGCCAAAAGACCAGTGCGTTCGTTGCGAGGTGCTTCCACCAGGCTTTGCTTCCAAAAAACCTCTGTTCGGACGACAAGCCTGGGTTCTTCCGTTCGTGACCTCATCCCCACGACGCCTGGGTCACGAACGTCACAAACATGCCTGGAAGACAAGAACTCACATTCCCCAGACTCCCAGATCCGGTCGCCCCAACACCGACGTCGTTCTCCTTCAGCCGCACGACCGGATCCGTGCGATCGTGCGTCGTGCGGCGACGTTGGCGTGATCTCCCAGCATCTCCCAGCAACCCATGGTGACTCCATATGACTGGAAGATGGTATGATTCGTCCAAACAAGCACGAAATAGAGGGCACCTACTATTACTAGTCAGCATCCAACATTACTTATATATATACGGTTGGTTTCAGAGTAGATGGCACAATCCCCCGAAGGGGGATTTATATGGGCCTCCGTCTAAAGGACATCTTGGGGTTTGTGCCGTCTACTCTGAAACCACTGTACATTGACCCTAACATCTTAGAATCACCCCATGAAAGCAAATATACAATACGTGGATTGTTTAGGGATTGCGACGGTTCATTTTTGATCACGACATATGGTTTACGATCTGCGCTGTGTCCCGCAGCTGACCTTTCAACATGGCTCAGTGCGAACAGCCAATATGACAGAGTTGCAAGGCCTGATCTGGGCGGCAGTGCTTCAGAGAGAGAGAGAGAGAGCGCGGGCGCGCAGCCGGCACGGGAACATTGTTTGCTTAAAACAACAGAAGCGTAATCAGCAGTTCGAAAGGAGTGGATTTGAGTCGTTTGAGTACCATCCAGACATTCGGACCGGACCCCTAAACCAAACTTGAGCGCCCTACTCCGAGTTGGTGCGTCAGCGCGGGTGTTAGGTGTTGGTTTCTTCAAAAGGGCCTGGACTATTCTGTTTGGGTGTCTTGGCTGGACCACTGGACTACGTTGTTTCCGGATCTCCAGACAGGAATCCTAGAGGACTGAGTTCACCCTCTGAGAAACACGGTTCGGTGGGGTTCGCCTCTGTAGAGGAACATGTCAACCAGACACAAGGAGGACTTTTGGGTGTGTATTTTCTGTGTTTTTTTTAAATGTGTTTTTTTTTTCAGATTTTGTGTGTGTGTTTCCTTTTTGCTTTTGCAGCACTTCTGCTTTTGCTGTCGTTTTGTTTTTGCTGCTTGTTTTGTTACGAAAGACAGCCTTCGTAGAAGGCGCCAGCTGAGTTGTGCTTGGCGAACGAAGTAGTTAGGGGGTCTGGGGGGCGTGGCCCGCAAAAGGTACACGTAAACTCGGCACATGCTGGGGGAGGAGGGTGGACGGATGGAAGGTTTTTTGAGGTTGTGTTGGAGGTGATTTTTGAGGGGTGGTGATGCAAGAAATGCAATTTGCATCACTTGCATCATCTGAATGGTAAGGTGTAGTTGGCACCTTGCCAGGTATAGATACCCAGGGTAGCTACAGTGCAGTTACCTGTTATAGTACTTTAAGTTCCCTTTCCATCAACCGCTCGATAATCTTTACACACGCAACGCACAGCAATCCGCAGGTTTGAAGTCTCATTCTTGCATTGAACTTATATAGGTGTGTAAGAGGTATAGCAACATAGCACTTATACGGACCCAGGGTAGCTACAATTCTGTTGCCAGTTATCCCACTTCAATTTCCCTACCCTCGATCCGCGCAACTCAGGGTATACCTGGCAATGGCCTTGTAGCTGCCCTGGGTCCGCGCGCGCGCCTAAATCACGGGCTGCCGGGAGCCAGCAAGGCGCGCGCGCGCGGACCCAGGGTAGGGAAATGGAAGTGGGATAATGACAAGACCGGATTAATAAACCCCACCCCACATGGTAGGTCAACAAGGTCAACAAGGAATGAGATAACCACTCATGAGGTCCACTCCCCCTGAATTGTCGGCTCAGGGAGCCATCGTAGTCGTAGTCGTCGTCGGTAGTAGGTAGTAGGTAGTAGGTCGTAGTAGGTAGTAGTAGGTAGTAGGTAGTAGTAGGTAGTAGGTAGTAGGTAGTAGTAGGTAGTAGGTAGTGGTAGTAATAGGCCAGGGACACAGGATCAAATTAAGTGCAGATTATTGATGGGGGACCGGCCCTTGTGAGGGGTACCCTTTGTGAGCTTGTCAAATGATTGTTTTTAATTGTTTTTAATAAGGCAATTTATAGGACCTGAGCCCTAGACATTTTTAAGGATTTCATCAAACATGTAGTAGGTAGTAGGTGGTGATGGTCGTGGTGGTGGTGTTGGTCGTGGTAGTAGCAGTAGCAGTAGCAGCAGCAGCAGCAGCAGTAGTAGCAGTAGCAGTAGCAGGAGCAGCAGCAGCAGCAGCAGCAGGAGTAGCAGCAGCAGCAGCAGGAGGAGGAGTAGTAGTAGTAGTAGTAATACGAAAAATTGACCATCAACAGCGAATAATACTTTTAATTTGGGCAATTTCCGGCGGCTTTGTGGGCTCGGATTAACTAGGGGAGGTTTATTGATCCTAACTTTTCATTACCTGTGAACAGAATTGTAGCTACCCTGGGTCCGTATAAATGCTATGTTGCTATACCTCTTACACACCTATATAAGTTCAAAGCACGAATGAGACTTCAAACCTGTGGTTTGCTGTGCGTGTGTGAAGGTTCTCGAGCGGTTGACGGAAAGGGAACTTGAAGTACTATACCTGGTAACTGAATTGTAGTTACCCTGGGTATCTATACCTGCGCCAGCTGAGTAAGAAGGGGGATTCGGGGGGGGTGGCCTGAGAAAGCACAGTTGAAAGTAAAAATGCTGGCTTTCGTTTTGCAGCTTCTCAGGTTTTTGCTGGTGTTTAGTTTTATGTGTTCTTTGTTTTTTTGCGTTTGCTCCTTTTGGTGATTTTTGCTTTTGCTGCTTTTTGCTATCGCTCCTTTGTTTGCTTTCGCTCCTTTGTTTGCGTTTATTGCTTTTGTTTCTATTGTTTTTTGTTTTTGCTGCTTTTGTTGTTGTTGTTTTGCTTTTGGTGCTTGCCATGGGTTTTGCTGTTATATGGATTTGTTAAAACTCTTCTCGTGTGTTTTTGTTGCTTTGGTTGCTGTGCTGCTCTTGCTGCTTTTTGCTCTTGTTGTTTTTTGTTGCTGCTTGGTCTACTGTGCTGCACTTGTTGCATTTCGGTCTACTGGTACTGCGTGGTGCACTACTGCGCAGCTTGCGCACACTTATATTTCATAATATGTATATATTATGTACATATACATGCACACATCAGAGGCTTCAATAGACTTTGCGAATATGTATGTCATAGTTGATTTGCGGTATCTTCTCGGCCAGTGTGAATCGACTCCTTTGTGAGTCAAGCTCATCGGTGCATGTTGTTTCACTCACTATTCATGTGGCTTTACGCTATGTAGTTTGTGTTGTTGTTTGTGTTTGCTGGGTCTCTGCAGGGAATACTCCTGAAGAATCCCCTTGCATATGTTTGTTCGATTTGTACATGTTTGTGTATTTTCATTGCCACATCATCCATGCCCGGTTCTGACCAAGTGGTGGGTGTGAGCGGAGACTTGGCTGTGTAGAGGAACATGTTCTTTTCCAGGACGCTACCATGACTGTATGGTTTCGGTGGTTTTTGGTAGTCCCTCTACTTGGGATGATTGAGCCCACTGACTAAGAGTTCTAACTTCTAACATTCTTCAATTGAGTTCAAACCATCAACCCTGCAGGTGATTATTTCAGTGTACGTAGATCATTTGGACGGCATCTGGACGGCATCCAGCTGGTCAGCTGCGGTTCGCGGATCAATCAGTTTCAGAGCCTAAAAACCTAGAAACTGACCTGCAATCTGCTAGGCGTTCGAGTTCTGAAACAAAGCAACATTTCTTTTTGTTCCGGGCGCCGCCCCATGCTCATCCCATTTCATGCTCAATTCCCTAAGATCAAATCATATCATTAATCAATCAAATCCTACTCAATCATGAGATTCCCATGCTAGAATCCCATATAATCAATCATCATTCTACATCCTACTCAACGCCTTCCCAAGCATCGCCCCGCCAGGTGGCCCTAGCAACTCTGCGTCACTCTCCGACGCCTGCGGCACGCACGGGCTCTTCGCGCGTGCGCGTGCGAGAAGAGCATTCAAAGAGTTCGGTTGACAGTCGTAACACTTTCGTTTTCGGGACACGTCGGGAAAAATGAGCATTGAGAAACACATGTTTTAAATCAGATGGCTGGAATCCTAGCTAGGGATGGTTTTCGTGCACAAAAACTTGAGAAAAACGCAGGGATAAATCAGGGATGGCTGGAATCCTAGCTAGGGATTCTATATAGCAGGAACTCCATTTGGAGAATATGTTTGCAACACCCTAGAGGCCTGATGAATTCTCTAAGGTCCGGTAGTATAATTCTCACCATTTGTAGAACATGAGCTAGACCTGTGCAACATGCGGGTCTCCTGCCCTAGGGATCCACACACCCTCTCCGAAGGTACTTGAAACCCTCCTGGCACCTACATAAATCTCCCATCACCGTACCTCAGAAGGTGGCAGTGGATCCATAGGGATAGCACATCCCAACTTTCCCCGGGTCGACCCTTCCCCACCCGGCAACCCAAACCGGTGTCCACCACTGGTGGATCCAAAACCGGTGAGAAAGCCCCTGACCCCAACCGGATCCGATTGGGGCCCGGGTCCAAGGGGGTCGCGTTCGGAGAAGAAGACGTGGAAAAGAAGATCTCCAGCAGGTTTATGAGGTGCTCTTCCCAAGGTGTCAGTGTATCTTTCGGCGTTTTTTGATTTCCTGAAACATCCATGTGACAGCTTTCTTTGCACGACCAATCTAATATCCAAATCATTTGCTTGGAGGTGATGAGTGGATGCATAAGGGTGAATGTCCTTTGGGCCTTTGCAGTTGTCGAAGGTTGGCCAAGACACCGATGGTTCTGCGTAATATCTATTACATGGTTCTATGTCGGGTGTTTGGGCTGCGAAGCTGTGGAAACCTCAGGGCCCAAGTTCCTCACAGCTCCTGCTTTGTGTCATGTGCCAGGATTCCCAACGCACGTCTTGGGTCGACGACTCTCTCAATGTACCATCAAGAGCGGCCGGGGTGCCCAGCGGCCATGTCCGAGCATCAAACCCTACGCTGGTTTTGGGGTGGTGCAAGGGGCAATATGACACAAATCAGATGCTTCGGTACCGGATAGCAGGTCAAGAATTGATAGCCCTCCGAACCCCTGGTTAGCCAACTAGAGAAACGCCATCCGGTGGCTTTCCGTTGGTTGTTGTACTTGTTGGTTCGCATGGGCAACAGGAAAAGCTTCCCTGGAAACTCAAGCCTCAAGCGGCCAAAGTTCATCGGGGCGCTTGTGCTTTGCATGTCGGTACCACCGCATGACATGCCCCGCTTTTGACGGAACTCGGACGAACTTCCGACAGCTGTGGGGTGGCAACTCCCCGCTACGGCTCACGGCTCAAAAAGCACTCGAATCCGGAAAAGCCTGGAAAGCTGGATGACCATGGGGTTCCCCATAAAAGCCACCACTCAAATCCCACAGGTTGGTCAAGTTGGGTTACTTTATATTTTCCACCAATCTGATCAGCTCAGACCACGGTCTCGCCGACCAGGTGAGCCCGAACTCGGGCTTCCAGGAGCGAAGGGAAATTGGAAAAGAACACCAGGATTTCCATGCAGATGGGGAGTGAGTAGTGTTTTTTGTTTTTTTTGTTGTAGAATTAGAATTTGAATTTGATAATAATATATAGTTATGATGTTTGAATTTGATTGTTAACTTGATCTTTGTTATATTCCAGTGAGAGTGGATCTTCTGGGTACCCCTATACCCTCCAAGTGCTCAAATCGAGCTGCAGCAATGCTTCTTCCTCGTGTGGAGGAATCGAGGGGATTTCCGAAATCACACCGACAGAGAGACAGAGACAATCAAGCAAGCAGACCAAAATCACAGAACTGCATCAAGCTTTGCTGGCTGGTGTGACTTACTGTATCAGGAAGAATGAAGGTTTATTCCAAAAGGAATCTCTAAGGGGCCAAGAAACTTCCTGAAAAACACTTGGAGTCGGACGGGTATGTGGAACTTGAACAAGAATGAAGGTTTGATGCTTTTGACCAAACATAGCTTCTTGCCTTATATAAAACCCACCTAAAACCCATGTTTTCTTCGTTGCTCAGATGGTTTTGCTTGGGGCTGCTCTCTCGGAGCTTGATCCATTGAGCAGCTTTCCTTGCAAGACTGAGTCTGCAAGACAATCCTTTCTTGAAGGTGGAAGCATCCTCCCAAAAAGTGTACATTGCTGAGCTCACTGAAGAACAGTTCCATCGAATGGTGGATTTGCTGGTCCTACCACAGTTTGGCGGGGTGGATGGATTGGTGCTGTTCGGAGCAAAGTTCACGAGCAACTTTGGTAGGACGGAAAATTTCCTGCATCTGCAACTTCTCGATATCTACACAGTCCACAACCACTCTCTGATGGCGCTTGAAATCCCTGAGTTGAAGGTGGAGCCCTTTTTCCAGGCTGATGCCACTTCCGCCTTAGCACAACGTGGCATGGAAATTGGGCAATTCGCAGGCTACATGAGCAACAGTGATTGCTTGACTGGAGAGTTTGTCATCTTGCCTCCTTCCCCAGATGATGCTTCTATGCGTCGGTGGGGCAATGTTTGGGCTCCTACAGATGGCAATGCCCTAGCTACGTGGTCGCTGGAGATGAACCTCAGGGTCTGCTTGGTGATGGAGAATCTCAAATGGGAAGGACTGGGTTTGTGCAGGCCAAGCGACTGGGCTCCAAGTTGCTGGAGCCAACGTTGATACAGCAAGCTTCATATCGTGCCAAGGTTTTTGGATTTGCTGCAGCCCATGCAAAGCCCAGGAAGCCATGCACGATTATTTCGATAAGAATGTCTTGGTGATGTCGAGCGACATGAGCAGATGCACACTGGCGATGCCCATGAAGCCAGCCTTGGCAAAAGCTGAAAAGCCATGAAAGCAGCACTCTCAACTATCTGCATACCACTCATTTTTCAGTGAACTTGAAGCGGGGAAAGGTGAAATTGGATACTGCAGCCGGCAGAGCTTTTGCATCTTTTGTGGCTCTGTTTGAGAGTTTGCAAAAACGCCGCGCCTGAATCCACAATCTGGTGCCCATTGGGGAGAACTGCCCTTCATGCTTCTCAGCCGGATTGATGAAGACTAGGTAGGAACCGCATGATGACTGCGTGTCAAGCAATCGGCTACTGCTGGACATGTTTGTTGGCCTGGGCTCGGGCTGAAAAATATTCTGAAGGTGTTGCAGCGGAGTTTTTTACGGCAAATGTGCTGCTAATTACTGTGGACGGCAATTCAGTTTTCCAGTGCCCTGCGATTGAGCGAGCTTCAGGATGCGCATTCTGGCGATATGCTGTCTCTCAGAAAAGCTATTCCTCAGTTGATAGCCCACAACTAAGACAGAATCTCGCAGCACTCCAGGCTTGAGATCTTTCAGGACCAAAATATACCATGCCCCCTAAACCTCATCAAATTGTTTTCTGGTCTTGCACATGGGAGGCCAACCTCGCACACTTAGTTAGGGAATTTATTCAATGTCCTTCAATGGCCTGATATTCAACCTGGTGGTCGCACAAAAGACCCACAGATGGACGGAGCTGGCGGTTTCATTTATGCTTTGGGCGGCACGAACACTACCAGTGACGTGGAAGATCCCCGGGGTCCAGTTGCAACCTCTCAAAGCAAAATCCGTGCGGGCCCTTTCCGAAACATTCCGCCTGATCGTCAAGCACATGAATACCATTTTCTCGATCCAAATACATGCATGCATATCCCAAACAAGGTTCATCTAGCCTGGTTAGGTTAGGTTTCACTGCATATCAAGAGGCTGGAATCTCCCGCCGCCCTAAACTCCTTAATGCAGCGGAGACTTGTGCATACCTGTTGAATCTTGCGCTTACACTTCCAAATAACCCGCCATTTCATACAGAAGTGGCAATGCCGAACTTGCCTGCAAATATTGTGCAAAGACCGTCACCAGGCCTTCCAGAAATCCATATTCATAAGCGGGAACAATTTCTGCAGCATGTACGGTATGCACTTATTCGCAAAAAACAATTCGATAGAATAAGCCACCCTGGCCCGAATTAGGTCTCTGACTTGAATGCCCCCGGAAATCTATAATTTGTGTTGCTTTACCTTGGATAATCGTCGCTTCTGTTTGTTCCTTCATGCCTGTTCGTAGTTGACGTGTGTTGTAGTGTCTTCTCTCACCAGTTCAGGCTCACACTTTCTCCACCCAAACCCGCTGGAAAACCTAGCAAGGGCGGGAGTGGAGGCGTCACGGTTCGCGAGCTCGTGCATCCAAATGGGGTGGTTTTATGAGCCTTCTGAGTCTACATGAGTGGTGAATGACTCGTCTCTTTGTTGCGTTAGCTCGCTGCACTGCCGAGTTTCTCCTGAAGTGAGCGGCCTCATGTGGCTGCACTGCTTGATCTCTTTGGTTGAAGTTGGATGGTTGGATGGCCCTCGGTGTCTGGGAAATCCCAACAAGCCCATGGGCTGGCCTCGGACCTGGCAACCTGTGGGCTCATCTATCCCTGCAGGTCAGTTTGACCGCGTTTTACTCGGTCCTAGGAAAACACTCTCAATGAGGTTTTCAGAACCAGGTTTTACTTGGTCAGACTGGACCTGCAGGGTTTGGTGCTGTTGTTTTGCTAGCGAACCTTTCACGTCCGCAAACCAGCCATGCTGCGAGTTTCGGGCAGCTGTGTTTGATGGAACTGGGTGCCCTCAAAACCGCATGCGTCCTCTTTAAGATTCGCTATTATTAGGTTTCGTCCCAACAGTTCACCATGTTCTCCAGATGGACTTTGAACATCAGGTGGCTCATCTCCCCTTAGCATCACTGCTTAGTCTATTTACACTGATTCCAACCCCTTCAGTGTCACTCCATCATGGAATGCTCATATTAGAAGATCAGCCGCCCAAAACACGTGTTGAACCCCGGTGGCTCCACGCATCCCACCGATCGTCGGAAGGAGAGAATCCTCCGATGCCGCCGGGTGACTTCACGCAGAGCAGTTTGACCTCGCTGTTGGAGAGCCAAGAGGAGAGTAAGCTCGACTCACAGTCTGGATCCGGTGGATGTTGGACGGGTTTTCTGCTTGGGGGCATGCAGGTCAACCCATTTTGCATGGGTTCGGAGTTTGAGTAGTTTTTTTGGGGGGTTGGAGCTGCACAGACACTGGCACTCCGACGAACGACAGATGTGTTTTGATGTGTTAACTTCTTGTTTGGTCTTCCCGGGGGACTCATCGGCTATCGCCAAGCGCAGAAACATGGTGGTGGGTTCATGAACTGTGTGCTCTTTATTGAACACCAGACGACTGCTTCCGAGTTTGGAAAGACAAGGACGAGATCCCGAGATCGGCTGAAAAGAGAAAGCAGAGAGTGAAACCTATATACTCCTTTATATATATATATATATAGACGTAGACACTACACAATGCGCATGCCACATACCACACTTTACTTCTGTGGTAAACAAAAATCTTAAAATCTGCAGTCTCCTATAAGTACACTTTTAATCACGTTTACACAGACTGGTTTCCGTAATGATCAGTTGTGAGTGTTTGAACTCCTTTGGCGCCCTACGCAGGAGTTCAGAGGCATTTTGCCACTTGTTCAAACACAGCGGAGGAGTTGGGGGGGAACCAAGACACTGGGTAGATGATCGCTGATTGAAGGGCCTATGCAGTCGATGGATAGCCTTAACAAAAACATCGTGAAACCTTTTTTTGAGATGAGTTTCCCCACTACAGAAGAGGTTTTTAATTGGTTAGTCATGTTACTTTTCAGGCAAGCTCAGGAAGGGTATCAGAGAGAGGGTCGAGAATCAGCCACCTCAGAGGGGGTCCCACCCTTGGACTTATGAAGACCGTTCTGCTTGGCTCACACGGTGGAAATCCTTCCCGGCAAAGAAGCCGTTCGAACCTGCAAAACCCTGCTTGGGGGGATTGGTTTCCCCACTGGAAACATGTACCAGCACCCTCCAACAGGTCAACCCCTGCGAGAGCCTTAGGTCAGCAAAAGCCTCCATTTCGGAGACCTGTAGAGTCGGGTGCTGGTATGTGTGAATGTATGTTAGTATAATATAGTATAATTGTAGATTCCTTATCTTTTTGAGGGAGACTGAGGAAGTCAGTGTTTAGACTGGTCTCACCAAGGTCTTTCTTTTTCGCCGCCAGGTGGGAGAAGATTGACACATCTTCCAAACGGCCTGTTTGTTTGACCTCGTTCCAAGAATTGGCTTAAGGGAAATCTACAGAAAGAACCATAGTTTTTAGGTAAAAACAATGGTTTCCTGTAGCTGTTCCCTTGAAGAAAATGCCCCAGACTTCGATACATTCGTGGTGGGCGTTCACTTTGGGTCAATCGATGCATCCGATGCTGTGAGCGTCTCTTCACTTGCCTATATCTCTGATGTGAAGTTAAGTATAGCTTTCCCCCCAACTTGGCTCAAACAATTCCAAACACCAGGGATCACAAAGGGGTGGTGTTTAAGTCCCCTTACGTGAGTGGAGTAGCTGGCAGAAGCAGCCTCGTTTGGGGGGGTGGCATTGTGTAGCCTTGAAGGCAGGGCCAGTTCCACCTGGAGACTCTTTTCGGGGCCAGAAAAAGAAAACACCTCGGATGTGTCCCCCAAATCCCTGCCAACCGTCGGCAAAAGATGTTCACATATGATCACCCAGACACTCCATGGGACTGCCCTATATGCCGATCAGTCCAGGGGTGGTGCCAGGGGGTCAATGGGGCGGCATATATGGCAGTCCCATGGAGTGTTTGGGTCACGATGTTTTTCGAAAGGTCTTCAGTAACCATCATCATCATCATCATCATCATCATCATCATCATCATCCTTTGGGCCCTGGGCTGAGCCGAATCTCACCCCCTCAACAGGCGAGCCGAATCTCCAGCTGGTAAACCTGCGCGGGTTTTCACATGAGTGAAGGGTTTGCGTGGTCATTTGGGGTGGGGGGGTGTTGAGATTAAATTTTGTGACTGTTTGGGAATCGTCGCCTTTGGCCAGATCCTGCCTGCCTCCGGAATTGGAGAAGTGATTAAACCCAAAGCCTGCAAGCTTCGGCTTGGGCAATATAAAAGAACGATCGGGTCGGGTGACATTGAAGCAGTTGAACTGAGGTCTGAGATTTGTTGCAAGCTGGAGATGCTGCAGCGGACTTTGGAAATGAAACCTGAGAATCTTGGAGCAAAACCCTGGCGAAGCGGGCGAAGCTGGCGAAACGCGAGGGAATTGATTTTTCACCCTCCATCCACCTCCAGACTCACCGAAGTTTCATGCAGATGGCGGACAAAAGGTCAGTTTGCTAGAGCTAGTTAGCTAGTCCAAGACCTAATAAGGATCCCCCTCCAAACTGCAAGCTCTACCCACAGTCACAACGCTTTTGTGACCATTCGCTTGAGAGGAACTGCACATGTGAGGTTTGTGTTAATACAGATCTCTTGTACTATTTCGATATTATTGATGAAAGATACCCAGACACTCCATGGGACTGCCATATATGCCGATCAGTGGTGGTGCCAGGGGGGTCTGTCTGGGGCGGCATCTATGGCAGTCCCAGATGTGTCGTGTCTGGGATAGTTATCACTATAACCAGAAACTTTATGGACTTTATGGGACTGGCATATTTACCATTGAGATGGGCGGTTTGAAGGGTCTGTTTGGGGCGGCCCAGTCGTCGAGTTAGGAAGGTTCGACGGCCACCGTGCTGCAAGCGCACCAGGGAGTCCAATGCCGGAATCCTGGAATGGTCAGGTATGGGAGGTTGCATCAGTATCATATATTAAGGTATAGGTTCCTGAAAAGCTCTTCGTTCATTCACAATCAGAATCACAATCTGCAGCATACTTTGGGACCGGAGAAGAAACCGCCTTGCCTTAGGGGCCCTCATGTTCTTGCGCTCACTTACACCCTGTGCGTTCGCCAGGTGAATTCTGTTTGTCAGGGTCTAGGGTCCCTCAGGAATTCATCTGTCTGGAGTTTCTGCCATAACTATCTTTGCCAGTATGTGGAACGCCCAGAACAGAGAGACGAACCTCCTTATACGCCGGGTTTCGGTTCTCCCCTCACCCACGGGGCCGGGGTGCTGGCGGAACGGCCTTCGCGTCAGGTCCGATCGAAGGATCCCAAACGGTCGGCCGTGAGCGGCGGTGAAATCGCAGGCCCAGACACTCCGGACTGGCAACTATGCTGGTCAGTGGTGCCAGGGGGGTCAATAATGGCGCGGTCAATAATGGGCAGTGCCAAACGGTGTCGTGTTTGGGAGGGCGGAGCGCCCAAGGCATGTGCCTTCACCAGTCATGGTTCAAAAGGCCTCGGTTCCTGCGCTCCCACCGAGGAAGCTGCGGGCACGGTGTCCGGGCACTGGAAGCTCCGCATCTCGGTGTCCGAACGGAGAAAGGCGGCGGTGGGACTGGACAAGTGACTCTAGGGCCTTGTGGGTCCTGGGGTGGTTAGATAGACACATATAGACACCCATTCATCTCTAAGGAACTATAATTGGACACTCCTGGCCCGGGGGCCCCTGGTACATGATCATTGACCCCCATTGATGCGATTGATGACCCATCCATATAGGACCAACTGGCCTCCTGTCCCATGGATGGTGTGGGAATCGTTGTTGATAGGGTGTGTCACGTGTATCCCAGTACCAGTAACAGTCGTTAATTTTTTAAGGATCATACAATCTCTCTTTTGGAGAAAGGTCTTTGCTCATCAGCATCCATTGTGATGGGATACACCCAAATTCTTGATCGGTTGATCAATGAAATCACACAGCAAATTTCAATAACTGTTTGATCGTTTTTGTATACATAATAAAAAGTATTGGAGATTGGGAGACTTCATCCATCAACCATCAACACTCAGTACCTAACTCTGCCCTTTTTAAGTGGTTTTCTTCAGAGGGAGGGTCCAAGCTACAAACCAAGCCCGTCCCCGGTCCATATCGATCCCCTTTTTCTCACAGGACCAGTGGACAAGACCCGAGGACAACCAAACTGCGAGGGGTGTGACAGTACCCTTTGTGACAATCCCACGTGGGTTGGTCCAAACCGCGGGGAAGGGTCCGTGCAGGTACGTGAGGTTCTCCACTGGGTCAAATCACTTTCACCTCAGCTTTCAAGGGTCACTTTCACCTCAGTCAGCTTTTACTCAGCCCTTAAGAAGTTTGTGGATCCGTCCTGGATGCCTTGTGGCTCACATGCAGACGGCAGGCATGGCAGGATGGACGAACGTGTCTATTCCAGTCATGCGGAGTCAACGACATGTCAAGGTTACTCCTCCTGCCCCACGTCCCGGACATACACATGTTATGGAGTCTCACGAGGTTGTCATGCCGCCGCGCGTGGCCTGGACCTCTCCTTGTTCGTTATGAGCTTGGTGTAATTTGGGGGAAGTGGATGGAGGTATAGGAGCATGCTTCTGAAATAATCGTGGAAGTGGAAATGGCTCTTGGATGACCATTATCCTCTAGAAATCCTCTACAAATACATGGATGATTTTTTCACCTCAATGATGATTTCAAAACCTGGTCATGTTGTTCATGCCTTTCCTGATTCGAGTCATTCAATCTTCTACCTCCGCCCGAGGAGGTCAAGAAGCATCTCAGTGTCAAGAGTCGCTCAGTCGCACTGTGGGACACCAGGAGGGAGGAATATCTCCACTTGCGGTTTCAGAGGATCGATGCCAATCCATGGGGGGCCCCAACATGACTTAGACAGATGGGGGTCCACTACTAAACCACCCAACTTGGACATGTGTGCCATCTACTCTCAATCCATAGCCATAAGTTCGGAGTTATATAGGTGCCGAACTTTGCAGGGGCGCCGTGGTGCCCAGAACGACTGTCCAAACCACTCCCTTTGAGCCTTTGTCGTGCTCCTTTCTTCCAGGCAACCCTGTTGTTATCACCTATTGCAGCAATGACAAGACCGATGTAATTCACGGTCCAGCGTACAGTGCTGTCTGGATCGGTCTCCGCAAGACCGCTAAGACCGAGCTCAGACCGATGGATCGGTGTCCAATGCGTCCATTGGTCCAAAGAGAGGGACGACGGAGGATGGAACAGCAGGTTGGATGGGACTGTGAACTTGGAAACTCAACATGAAACCAATGGCAGTTCACTAGGCCTGAGACCATGCATGGGAATGCATTCGAACCTATCAGATCCTATAGTGGAAAACATCATCGTCATCACCCCAAGTCCATTCATGGGTTTCCAACATTTGCTCCGGCCCAACACCCGCGACCCGCGTGTGACCTATCCAACCTCTCCGACCAACAACGCGGGAAGTCCGGATGTGCCGAGGCCCCAGCGAAGGCGGGCGGTCACGTGAGCTGTTGGGGTTTGAAAGATATTCAGCTTAGGACGTTGGATGCCGCGGTCAAGTGCTTGTGATGTTCATGTGGGGTTGTATGCATAGTCAAACCGGCCCAGCACCTGATGTGATGGCTTTGGTCCAATTGAATTATGTTGAATTGTTTGGGCTCTCCTCAAAGGTCTTTGGACGTCTCCCTATCCTAATACATACCCATGCCGCATGCCCATGTTGGTGATCGCCCATGTCTTGAGAAGTTCTATTTGTGATAATTGTCTGGTGTATGGCGCAGACTTTGTTTATAGGATTTCTTGCTGATCGTAACACTCTGCCAGTCCGCCCCAACCGGACCGTCTGTGTGAAAAACCCTTGCAGATGCCAAAAAGGACAAAGAATGGAAGGCACCGAAACACCACGCGGTCTACCTGCCACCAGTGACGCCGAGCCCAGCGCTCGTGGCGATAACTCCCCACGAACGCGACGAGCGCCGTGAGCCAGAACCTGCGTTCAATCTCCCCGTGAAGAAAGCGGCAGCGAGTGTCTCAAGCATGAGCATGGACATGCTGCCTGGCTGCATCGAGTTCTTTCCAACATGGAAGTGGACAGTTCAAGTGAACAAAACGGCAACAACTTGCCGACTTCATTGCTGCAGGGACGATACTTTAGAATATCTTCAGAGTGCATGATACAAAGCCAGATGAGATTGGGCGCCGAAGCCTTAGGGAACTAGTCCAAAGCGACCCTCAGGAGGGCCATCGAGAGCTTAGAGTAGGCCAGCAGTCGATAGATCTAGGATGTTTGTTGCAGTCTTGGACATGTTGATTTTGTAACTTGATCGAGGGTGTACGTGATGTGATTGTCCCCTACAGGTCCAAAGACCCAGTGAAACCTGATGAACTCCAGTCAAGTGAGGTGAAACTGACCTGTAGGGAAGGGATATCATCCATGTCTACGGCGCCCCCACCCATATCCCTTCCGCTCGCAACCACCGAAGAAAATAGCTTTCGGCGAGTGGAAGCCACAAGGCTGGCCTTCCGAAGCCCGAACCAAAGAACGACTTCCAAGAACCAAGAACGGTGGGTGTTGTCCATGTCTTTGGCATGAATAGACATGACTTGACATGAATCGACTATACCTATACACCTAATGTAGGGAGCTCGACCTACCAGCGTGAAAACAGGCGAAACGGGTCAACGGCCGCCATGTTGTGTCTCGTGTCGTTCGTGCCCCAGGCGGCCGACGTGTGCATCAATTCAGCCGAATACGCGTTACGCGACACTCCATGGGACTGACCATATCTATATATATATATATATGAACAGGTTTGGGGTGCTTGAAAAGGGGGTCAATCTACCAGGACCCTCCGACCCTCGGGGTGTCCTGGCTGAACTACCCCACACTACCGGCCTAGGCTTTCAGACAGGGCACCCCGACAGGAGGTTTCATGTAGATCATCCAATCTTCCAGTTCCATGTCTTTGACCGCCTGGGGCGGCCTGACCCGACCTGGGGCGGTCACGACCATTCCGCTCCATGGCCATGGAGTGTGGATCCAATCCGAGGTTTTCCTTGAGCTCGAAGCACAACGCACAGCTCTTGTCGAAGAAGAAGTCCTTCAGTGTGGCCAACATCACGGCACCTGGGCCTGTGGCGGGGCCAATTCGGCACCGGAGGACCTGGTTGGACCTGGTATTGGATGATTTCATAGTGATAAGTTATTTTCCCCTATGATATTTAGTGAACCATTCCGGAACAGGAAGGGCTCCCACCGTAGGCTGATTTTCATAGTGAATTCCCAATTGATCTTTAGTTGTTACGATATTCACTCATTGAATCCCCTAACACCTAGGGATTGCCGGACGCTCGGCTTGGACAGAAAAACCCACAGTCTCTTGTACGCGATCCGGACCCCCGAAATCGGGGTAGTGCAGTGGAGAACACTCACCAAGTGGTTTTTTTTCTCAGACGCTTCTTTTTTTGGTTTGCAGATGTTACATACATCAAGGCCGGGATTTGACCCCTCAAACCACAGTGTTTGGGTACCGAAGAAACTCCGTCTCAGCATCGGATGCTCAGGTGGAGCAACCCAGGAAGGCAGCCACTTGGCGCGTCGCTGTTGGGGGGGGAGGAGGGTTTTCATGGTCAGAGGCAGATGTGTGGGGAGGCGAAAAGCAGAGCAGGGACCTTCCTGTCAGTGCTGGGGAGATCCATAGGTCATGCAGCGTCTTCTAGTGACCCCGACAGGTGCCAATGGATGTGGATCACATGCTTCTTCTTTTTGGGGGTGCCAAAAAGCACCCCCATCAGATCATATGTTACCCTTGTATGTATACTGATGTTTGTTTGGGGTGTTGAGCAAGTTCATCGGCATCTTCGATGTACGGCAACCCGTTTGAGGTGCCAAGTGAGAAGGGCTCAGTTCGTACGTATGACTATGGCATACTATGGCCTATGACACGTTTCAGCGAGCTGAGTCACTGCCCAGTCCCAAAGCAAGTGCTCACGGTCCGGTCCACACCTGGCCATTCCAAGCTCTGGAGAGGCAAGCTGTTTGTAGTAGAAGTCAGTCATGACTCATGACTGCATAGCCACTTTCTTGGTAGTCACGCACACATATTGCATGCAAGGCTGTGTTTCACATCCTCAAGAGCAAGCGTTTTCAATTATCACCACGCTTCCACCCTTACATTGAAGAGTATTGAAGCATGACTGCGCATGAGGTGAATACTTTAGAACCAAGTTGTAAGTTGATAGCTACTATCCCTCAAGAGGTTCCGATTCATACTCACAAGCCACTAGAGAATCCTCCTGTGTCGAGATGACCGTTGTGGGATGATTCGCCACACCCTTCGCCGTCCAAGGCCCTCAAGCGCTATGGCTCGTGCATTGTAGCTTGGTCAAAACTGCCGTGGAGGGTGTGGGACTGTTTGAGAAGGAGGCATACTCAATGGGACCATACTCATTCATACATACCGGCTCCAGTCGTACCTCCTCAGGTTCAGTAGCTCCTGGACCCGACGGAACATGGCACCCGGGGCCCCGGTCGTCCCACCGAACCGAAATGGTTCGGTACGAACTGGAGCCCTAGGGTACTCCATCCATACAGCCAAGAGGCTAGCTAAATCCGTTCGATTGAGGGTCTTGAAAAAAACAACTTTCACACAGACAGAGCAGCGTCAGTACAAGCGTCACAAGGAGTCGACGAGGGAACAGTGAGCGTCACAAATGGGCTCATCACAGCGCTTTTTTTTTAGACTGTGCGCGTGATTTGTGGAGATATCTGAGATATGGTCGTAGAAATAGATGCACTACTGTAGGGCCCAGGGCTGCAGGTGTTTGTTTCAGAAGGTGCTGCCTGGACCCTCTAAACGCAACATTTGCACGAATCTTCTCGTTTTTTGTGCCTACCCCACGAGAACTCTAACTACCTGTGGTTGCTCGGCAGATCCATCCGTTGGCATCGGAGGATGAGGTCGTCTTCAAGGCAAAGGCTCCATGTAGAATCTACAAACCAAGCGTGGTCCTGCATTGACCCCTGAAACCACCTCAAAGTATGTGTATGGCAATACAATGCTATACCATATATACATCATATATAGAGATCTGGGAATTCCCCTTCAAAAAAAACCAGCGGAATTGAATAAGTCCTGTTTGCCACCTGAGGAGCAAAAGGAGCGGAGATTATCACAGGCCAGACGCCACCTGCATGGTGAGATGCAGTCAGAGGGAATGAGGTCACTGAAATTGTTGGGACTTTCGAAGGTCGCAGCTGCCCGCAGCATCAATGTGCTTCAACCCGTCACGTGGTCCATTTGAGTGGTTAGCAGAACATAGTATGATCGTTCTTCAAAGCCTGAAGAGCTTGTGAAGTGGTTGCAGGTGATGAGTTTCTCAACTTGAAGGTGTTGCTACCTTGTGGTCATTTACCTTGGCGAGATATTCAGCCATGAAACTGCGGAATTTCCAGCAAACATAGAGACTCACTCAGCATGGCAGGCCTTAGCAAGCTACCACCGAACAAGTTTTTGTAAAGCATGTACGGAATACATGGCTGTATGGCTGTGGGTCATGGCACCAGGATACTGACCGGTTGACCTACCGGGAAGGTCAAGCTTCATGGTGGACCAGAGCTCCAGATTTTGGCCCCCACATGTTTGAATCAGAATCTATCCCTCCAATTTGCAGTTATGTTCTATGGGTCTTCTTGTTGGGAATCGGTCGGAGCTGGCGGTCTGAAATGGCTCCAGAATGTGATCCAACAGACCTGAAGCAGAGGCACTCCCCCAGGTTCTCTTCGATTTGTCCAGACTTTTGCGCCAACATCTTCTGCTCCCTTTCTCTTCCCCGTCTTCTCTCTTCTTCAGCCAAGAACGCCCACTTTCTCCAACCCCCGAACCTAAGCCCTTGGCGCATTTCTTCAAGGCACGTCAGAGGCTCAACATCCCCTCCCAACTCCTCCGCGACCACCAGCTCCTCCGCGTCCTCTCTCCTCGTTTTCCTCGCGCGGTTCCCGAACACGTCGCAGCGGGAAGGCCTCGGTGAAGATCATCGCGCCGGAGTCCGCAGAGAATTCTCTGTCACTGCCCGGCGCGCTGGGTGAGGCGAAGAGCACGCGCGATCGGCGATCCACAGACGGACGGACTTCTTTTCTTGGGACGGGCAGACGGCTGGCAGGGGGTGGACGGGGAGGTGATTTCAGGAATCCTAGAATGTACAGTAGATTATATACTTGAGAGTTTTGAATTGGTCGTGTCTTTCCAATGTTCGTAAGTGCAGGCTTTTGACACATGAGTTCAGATGTTCATGATGAGATGTGCCCTGAAAAGTATCGAATCTAATCCTGGTGATGAACATGTCGGCATGTGTCGGACATGTGTTGACCTCGCTCGCATTACCAGCTCGAGCTCACCAATGGGCAGATTTAGCAAAGTCTCTTAAAACAGAGAAAATACGGGATTGCTCCACAAACAATAGGGGTTCTGTCTAAAGTGATACCAGCCTCATAAATCACCTCCACACTCCATGCAAGTTGTAAGCTATAGTCATATATCACCCCTCAAACCACCCAATGTAGGTAAATATGCTTTTCCCAAGAAGCTCTGCTCTTTCTTTTTCCCTTTGAAGCTCTCAAACGATGGTCTTGCTCATCACCCTCCACGTCCCGCACCCGCAAGGAACCCATCAAAACCACTCCCAAAAACCGAGGGGCACAGAAACACGCCCCGGACCCGACGCCGGTGACCACGACCCCGTCCGAACCGACACCGATTCCGGCGCGGCCGCGGCCTCGCCTTCACCAGGGGTTGGAGAAGTCGGACAGTGAGAAGTCGGTGGATTCCATCCTCGCCGAGGCGTCGACCGCGCGGTTGGAAGGTCGGACCGGGCTCCACGGACCCACGGACCGGGGAGGGTCTACAGTTCCGGGCGCGAAGCAAGCAGTGAGATCGGTGAGGGTGATGACTTGCAAGTGAGGACTCACTGAGAGAGGAGTTTTTTAGAGGGTGGGACTAAGGATTAAGAAAGTGAACCTCATCTAAGACTGATTATTTGAAGACCACTGCCTCTGGAGCTGAAGAAAGTGAGTGGATCATGGGCACCCCTCCTATATAGGCACCCCTTTGGAACTGCAGGTCGGTGGGGGTTTATTGGGAATTGGGGGAGCTCTTGACGGTTTTTCTCTGTTGGATGTGGAACGATGGCCAGTGGATGTGACTGATGTTGCTTTCACATGGTCCTTTTTGGAATGGCTTCGATGCCTTGAGCCCATTGAACCCATGCAGCTCGTCGAACTTGGAACTTGGGGCGTGACAGCAGGGGAGCAGCACCTCCAACGTGGTTGACCCACCTGGAAGGTCGTTCAACCTAGGGATCTCCAAGGTTTGACCCCTTCCCCAGATGTGACGGGAAGGCCTTTGGCTTCATGTAATTCTTTTGAAATCGCTATGCTGGATGCTGCGGGGCAGGGTGTGGAAATGAGAGGGTGTAAATATCAATGCAACCCCCCAAGCCCTACTGCTTTTGACTCACGCCATAGACCGGCGTCGAACTGGAGACCAAAGTGTTCAGCTAATCCTCCGGCGCCTGTTCAGCCACACCAGAGGATTGGCAACGACCTTCAGAGCTTCGTTGTTCGGGGGACGTCCTGGTGCTGCCCATCGATCTGCTTGGGACGATCCTGGTGCGTCGCACCCATGTGGGTCCCACGGCTCCCGAACCTGGTGAAGAAGAGACAAGTGTTTCTCGCCGGCTTCCCGGAGCAGCCACCCATCCCAGACACCAACCCAGCGGCCTCAAAACCAGGCACCCTCGGAACAAAAGAGCGAGGCCGGGAGCCCCGTGCCGTCCCGTAATCGACCGTGACCTGTAGGTTTGGTATAGGCTCAAGGGTGCTAAAGGTTGGATTTAGTTAGTATCCCTAAGGGCTCCAGTGGTACCTTCTGAAATGGGACTGGGGTGGGTTTGGAGGGTCCAAATACCTTCTGAGGAAGTACGACTGGAGCCCTAGGGTATAGTTTGTCAATGCTTGTGATGCCTTGATCAGATGGTTTTAATGCGCTGAGGTCTGCATGCATCCATGGATGTTCAATGGCCATGGCAGCGTAGTTCCACTCGATTCAAACCATGGTCCGACAAATGTGACTCGTCATTGATCGGTAGACGTTGATGTCTACACATCGATATCGTATCTTTGAAATCGGTGTCTACGCAGACTGTGCACATGAAGACACTATGTCATAGAAAGGACATGAGTAAACATTGGAAGAATGATTAAGAGAAGAGAATGAGAGCCGTGGCGCCGACCCAAAGGATAAGATCCCCAGGGTGCAGAGATGTGCAGAGATGTGCAGAGGTGCACGATGAGGGCCTCAATGTGGGGTCTTGAAATGTGTTGAAGCACATGATATATTTTTCATGTTGAGAGACAGTGCCAGAGACATAGGGACCTCCCTACCCTAGTCATCTCTTCTGTTCATTTTGGGTGGTCAACCAGGTTCCCCCACTGACATGACCCATAGATGTCCAGGAACCCTGGAAAAAGCTTGACAGGTCAACCTGCAACATAATCAACCTTCAGATGGTCCAAGGGTGGGCAAACATCAAAAGCTCCAGTCAGGCAGCCTCCGGTCACCTGGAGGAAATTCTTCCGAACGGCTTCCCACAGGAGTGGAGACGTGATGTGAGTGGCAGCGTCCCAGGGGTCCGCCACCCAGTCCGACACATCGACTTACGTGGATCGAATGCCCCTTGGGGCGGGGGGGTCAGGAGGTCCAGCCCTTGGGGAATTGGTGATGACCTCCCCAGATGGGGCAGGTGTTTTCCTGGCTTTTTTCGGAAGGATGTGGAGCCATTTGGCTTCGCTTTTTGCCGGGGCATCCCAATTCCTTCGGTTTTTATGAAAATATGTCCGGGCTATGACATACGTGGGCAATCGAGGTCGGCTCAGTTTTGAAGCCCCCAACCTATAGGGGATCTTACTTGCTTGGACAAACCCCTTCTCAAAGAAGACATCGATTTGCCTGGCTTGGCTTACATTGATGATGTTTATTTTCTCAAGGGGAAGGTTGGGAGCAGAGATGGGCGCAAGTCTGTGTGTGGGCATGTGTTTGTGATGTTATTGCAATTACTTTCCTTGCTTCCTAGATCAGCAAATCCAAGGAGATCATGAATCGATCGATTTGGCTTCGTCCTTGGTGCCCACCAATCCATGTTGATCCTCAACATCCCAAGGACATCCTCTCTCTTTGCATCGCCGGAAACTCCAAACCGTGCTGGATTTTCACGTTTCTTCTACATCATTGTGTCTTGGGTCTGTCCTATTACCTGTAGCAGTCAGTATAACAAATATTTATATATGTCACATTATATCACTATCTTTGAACAAGGTCTTTAGTAATTTAGTAACCATCATAACCATCATCATCCACTAAGGCCCTGGTCATAGGATAGACCCAAGTATCCCAAGTTATGTCTCTCCAGTTTCACACCAGACCCGTTTCAACTCAAAGATGTGCAGGAGACCCGTTTCACACCACCCGAGCCGGCATGGACTTTGGGGAGGCTTCCATCGATCGGACTGGGTTTGGAACGTCCGGGTCGTCACCGGGATCACCGGGTCGTAGCGGGTCAGTGACGCTCTGAGAGAGCGAGAGAGAGGTACTGGTGACACGCATGGGAACAGGGAATGTGGGACCTCAGAAAGCCTAACAAAAGAACAAGAAGCTGTTTTTTCTCGAAAGCAGAAGAGAATACCAATGGGATACTGTGGTCTTTTGACTTCACTTTAGATGTTTGGGGTTCATGATGCTGATTCGGGTTCTATAATGCCTGGAGTGGAACACCCGAGCTTCCAACGACCCGACCGGGGGTCGCAAGGCGCCATCGCCCTATGCATCCATCGCCGGGAGCCTCGCGGGGGATCGGAAGGGCTGGGTTTGATGGCATCGGTTACCCCAAGTGCCAGACATCTTGAGGGTGGTGCCATCTACTTTGCAACTAGAACATTGCAGTCTACTTGCAGTCCCTAGTAAACAAGAACATTTGTCGGGCTTAGTTCCAAGTACGTGACTTGGTCATGTGCGATGTCGGGAGTGAAGACGGATCCCATCAAAGTTGCCAAGGCGCTTGGCTCCAGTGCAAAAGCTGTTGTGGAGGCTACCTGCAACTTCCCATGTCTTCCCATGAATTGACGGCATCAGATGAAACACCTATACGGAATGTGGTAGGCCTCTACTGTGTACTCGATACCTGAACTCTTGTTTGTGTGGAAATTGAGATCATTGAGCAGGTGCCTCAAACAACATTCACACCCATCCCACCTGATTGCTTTCGAATATTTACATAGTCAAGAAGGGGAAGAGAGGTCAGCCGCCATGGTGGCGACTCTTCGCTTCATTCGACCTCTTCCAGCCAACAGACCGGTGGGCCCGGTGGGCGGGCGCGGGAGCCCCGCGCTCAGGCAGATGACCTGAATAACAGTTACACTGCCGTCGTCCCTGAACAGGAGCCAGCCAGGCCACGCGACGACCACGGTCCGCCCACGCGACCAGGTGGTTTTTCGACCGGCACGATTGGACGACTGGGAATGGAAGGATTTAGAGAAAAAAAAACGTGCCAAATCTCAATAAATCTCATGTCACCTGGAGCTTTTGCGAACTGTTTGTTCTCATTGGCACAGGATTTTTTGTCCATGATTGTTTTGGACTGCAGCCCGTTTTAGCTGTTAAAGTTGGGTTCATTTAGGACCTAGGATTTAGGACTGACTGGTGCTTGTATCTTCTCGAAACAGGTCATCACTTCCATGATTTGTTGGATGGAGGGTACCCGGACGAAGGATGCCAAGACCCAAGCTCCGCCATGTTCGCAATCATTCCATTCTATGTGGGGATTGTCATGATCGGACGACCACCACATGGTTTGATCATGTTTGATCACTGAAATCCTGGTGAGACATGATCAATAACTCATGATCGGCTAACCGATCGAGCCATTTCGATGGTTTTCGTGCAAAGCCCACATGAGTCGACTGTCTGGACCCTAGAAGTGAAACTGTTTTACCCTGCAGGCAGGTTTGATTTGCCAAAAGAACACCTACTCTTGATCTCCAATACTTGAATAGAAGATGTAATGTAGATTATATTGTAAATTTGCAGATGCTGGAAAAACTCGGATCACGCTGCACCAGACCACACTCGGACCAGACTGTAAGACATCTTCAGACCCCCCTGACCCCCCCTAAAAAAGACAGATAAAACAGACCACTGCCAGGACCACGGAAGGAAAATACATAGTCAGGGGTCCATAAACCACCCTTTCCGTGGTGCTGGTGCATCTGAATCATCTTAGACTCTATCCCAGATGCTCCATGGGACTGGCATATCTACCGATCTGGCCAGGGGGTGGGTACCCGAAGCCAATGTCTGTAGATGATGCCAACCCCAGGCAGGTCGTGTTTGGGTCTATATACCAGGGGTCACAAAGGGGTTGATTTTGAGTCTCTAAGTGAGTGGATGTTCTGGGCATCCCTATCCTCCAAGTTCGGCACCCCTTTGGAACTCCTATGCCTTTTGTTATGCCGCATGCACCCCCACCCTCCACCCTCTCCATCGCTCCAGGCCGATGAACCTGCTGGTACCGGGGAGCGATGCCAGGCGCCGGTTCTGCGGAGCGTTCGATGGTACGACGGAACAACCCGAACATGTTGCCGCGATGTTTGGTTTGGAGCTTCTGGTCAGCAAAGCCCAACTGACAATTTTGTTGAGTTGTGCTTTGCTCATGTTGGAGCTTCGCGATGTGTGTGTGTGTGCTTAAGTGTATCCCACTGTAAACGAAACGCACGACTTGCTGAGACCTG